GGGTTCTTCCATTCTTAAACTGGTTCTCTGTATAATAGAAACAGTTTATCACATTGACCTGTTGCCTACACCAAGCAAGAATAAAGTCCAGAACTTCCTAAAAGAACTTCATACTCTTTATTTCATACTCTTGCAGGATCAGTTGTGAAGTTATTTAGCTATTTTAACAAATGGAAAAAAAATTGGGGGGTAAATGCTATTAAAATGGACTTCATTTAGGAATGGTAGTTCTTTTGCCCAAAAAGCATCAGTATACCTGGCTTTGGAGGGAGAGGAAGTATTTCCGGTATTTAATGGGTTTCTCCAAACAGTTAAGGGCCCCCTACAATATATTAGAACTCCCAGAGGGCTACGGTTTTATTGTTAAAATGTGCAGATATTTCTCAAAGTGAATGATATTTTTTGACATCCCCTCCATGTTCCCTTAAAACTTCTACATTTTTGGGAAGAAGAGGTTGCTTCAGATAATCTGCAGTCTGTAAAAGAAATGCACCATTATATTTTATTTTAACTTGAAGTCATGAAGTCCTCCCCACCCCTTCCAGTTCTAACTCACTTCTTAACTCTCCACAGGCAAGTACTACATTATAGCCTGGATTTTTATACTTTATCACACATATAGGAGCCATGGTGGCACAGTGGGTTAAGCAGTCACCAAAAGGTCGGCATTTTCTAATCCACCCAGTAGCTCTACGGGAGAAAAGACTGGCAATCTTCTCTCTTAGAGATTACAGCCTAGGAAACCTTACAGGGCAGTTCTGCTCTGTCATATGGTGTTACTTTGAGTTGGACTGACTTGACAGCATCTGACAACAACCATACATATGTGTATTTACAACAATATATTTTATTGTTTTGAATTTTTTAAAAAATAGATATAAATAGTAAACTGTAGACATTTTCTGCAACTTTTTCGCTCACCATTTTTTTAAAGATCCATCTATACTGATACTTATAATTCTAGTTCAGTATAGTTATATACTATTCCAGCATATGTCCAAATTACAATTATTTTTCTGTTGATGATCATTTATGTTGTTTCCAACTTTTCACTATTGCAAAAAATGCTGTAGTTGAATCTCCACAGCACGTCTTCTGATGAAAAGATGTAATAAGTTTTTCTAGAGTGTATGCCTTAAAGTAAAATTGCTGTGTTGTGAAGTATGCCCATTTCAACTTTGTAAGATAGTCTCAAATTGCTCTCTAAAGTGATTGTACAGGTCTAGAATCCCTTCTCTGAAATTTTTGGGTCAGATGTATTGGAATTCAGAGTTTTTGAACGAGAATATGATAATATTATAGAATATTCCTAGCAAGTATTCTATATACAATATCACATAATCAAACACAGTAATACTTTATGGATAATTACACTAAGAGGAATAAATAAAGACTACAAACAGCATCACACAATTCAGATTAGGCTTTGCAGCCAGTGAATTATAGAAAACTATTTTCAGAGTTTTTTGGATTTCAGAATTGTAAATGAGGGATTGAGGACCATACCAATTTTCACTCCTATTAGCAATGTATGAAAATTCCCCTTTCCCCATATCCACTCCATGGCAGCACTGTCAGACTTTTAAAAAATCTTTATATTATGCAAAATTTTAAATGTGTACAAAAGGAGAAATAATAATATATTAAACTTCATAACTCCATGTATTCATTATCCAGCTTCAACAATTATCAGCATATAACCAAAAAAACCAAAGCCATTGCCATCGAGTCAATTCTGACTCATATCATCTATATCCCTACCCACTTCCCCAGATGATTTTAAAGCAAATCCCGGATATCGTATCATTTCATCTGTAATTGCTGAAGTATATATCTCTAAGAAATAAGTGCTCTTTATTAATATGTGTATGTACTTTTTATTGATATATATGTATGTATATAAACATGTGCATATATATATATGTATACAAATATATATATAAACACACATATAAGACACACATGCAATGGCAATCCTATTATCACACTTTAATGTCATAAAATGCCTAGTCAGTGTTCATATTTCTTCATTTATAATTTTTTCTCATAGATTTGTTCAAAATGGATCCAAACAAGGTCCATGCATTGCATTTGTTTTTTTGTTTGAATAGTATTTTATTGTGTTTTAGGTGAAAGTTTACACAGCGAATTAGATTCCCCTTTAACAATTTTTATACTAATTGTTCCAGTCCATAAGTTACAATTTTTACAGTGTGTCAGCATACTCATTATTTGCATTCTGTTTGTTCTGTTTCCACTGATCTAGCTTCCCTTCTCCTTGCCTTCTCATCTTGCTTTTGAGTAAATGTTGCCCATTTGGTCTCCTATAGTTAATTGTTTAAGGGAGCACATTACTTATGGGTGATACTGTTTATTTATAATCCAGTCTATTATTTGGCTGAAAGGTGACCTGAAGAAATAGCTTCAATTCCAAGTTCGAAGGTTATATTAGGACAATAGTCTTGGGAGTTCCTCTAGCCTCTTATCAATCCAGTAGGTCTGGCCTTTTTTTAGGAGTTTGAGTTTTGTTCTACATTTTTCTCCCATTGTATCTAGGAGCTTCTACTGTGTCCCTAGTCAGAACAGTTGGTAGTGGTAGCTGGGCACCACCTAGTTCTTCTGGTCTCAAGTTAGAAGAGGCAGTGCTTTGTGTGGGCTATTAGTCCTATGGGCTAGTTTCTTCTTTGAACCTTTGATTTCCTTCATTCTCTTTTGCTCCTTACGAATAGAGACCAATGGTTGTATCTTAGATGGCTACTCGCAAGCTTTTAAGACCCTAGACGCTACTCACCAAACTAGGATGTAGAACATTATCTTTGTGAACTATGTTACGTCAGTTGCCTAAGTTGTGCCCCAAGAGCGTTTGGTTTTTATATCCTTTAAATTTCTTTTTATCTAACGACTTCTCTCTTCTTTTTCCCCATTTTTTAATTTAAGAAACCAGGTGATTTGTCCTGTAAAGTTTACCATATTCTGGATTTTGCTGATTTCATCTCTGTGGTGTAGTTTAACATGTTCTTTTATCACCTGTATTCCGTATAAACTGTTAGAGGCTTGGTTAGATGCAGATTTGATTTTTGGCAATAATGCCCAATAGGTATACTGTATATTTCCTGTTGCTACCTATGTCTCTCTCTTTTTGTGGTGTTGAGATAGATTAGTAGATTCAGTTGTTTCAGAGTATTGTCAAACTTTTATTATCTGAGGGGCGTGAAATGGTTTCTTACCGTTGTTTTAATTTGCATTTCCCTGTTTATTAGTGAAGTTGAACATTTTTGTATTTGTTTACTCAATGTCCATATTTTTTTCTTTCTGATTTGCCTGTTCATAGCATTTGCCCATAATTTCTGTTTGATTGGTTGGTTGGTTGTTTCTTTTCTTTCTCTCTCTATATTTAAAAACAATTATGGTTCTTTATATTCTGCATAATAATTCTTTGTTATATGTGTTATAAAATGCTGTTTCTCAGTTACTTTCCTTTTATCTTATTTATGGTGTTTTTAAACAGAAGATTAAAATTTTAGTCAGCTTTATCAACATTTTAATTTATGATTGGTGTTTTTTATTTTATATTTAAAACATTCGCCATACCCTCTAGTAGAGTAGGATATTCAGCCTAAATCTTAAGCTGCAAAATTTTCTCTTCTACTTATTTGTATTACCTTTTCCTATGTAGGAAACCCTGGTGACATAGTGGTTAAGTGCTATGGCTGCCAACCAAAAGGTCGGCAGTTTGAATCCACCAGGCTCTCTTTGAAAATTCTATGGGGCAGTTCTACTCTGTCCTATAGGATCACTATGAGTCAGAATCCACTGGAAGGCAGTGGGTTTGTTTGGTTTGGGTTATTACTATGTAACAAATTTCACCACACTTAGTGGCTGTAAAGCAACAAACATTTATTACCTCACAGTTTCAGTGGGTCAGGAATCCAAGAGCAGCTTAGGCAAGTAGTTCTGTTTCAGGTTCTTTTACAAGGCAGCAATTAAGGTGTTGTCTGGGCTGCAGCTGGGACTTGACTAGGAGATGATCTGCTTCAAAGCTCACTTATGTTGGCAGGCCTTAATTCCTTGCCATGTGAGCCTCTCCATAGAGCTACCTCACGACATGGCAAGTGATTTCCCCCAGAGGAATCCAAGCAAGAGCAAGATGTAGCACCTAAGACAAAGTCATAGTCTTTTTAAACCTAACATATGTAATATCCTATTACTTCTGTCGTATTCATTACAAGTGAATTAATAAGACCAGCCCACTCTAAAGGGAATAGGATTATACAGGACATGAATAGCAGGAGGCAGGAATCATTGGGGCCATCTTAGTGGCTGATTACCACATTATTCTAATAGCACAAACAGAACTAAGAAAATAAATGTATATAAAAGGATATGAATATTAAAATGACATTAATAATTAATGTTAGCATTGGATAATTTCTACTTTGTATTTACAAATTTTATATTTATTTATGTAAATTTTATATTTATTTTCTATTTCATACATTTTGCTATTATTAAAAATCATCCATGTGTAAATATCAGTAGACATTTACTAAATTCCTTATCATAATGTGTTAGATGTGGTAAACTTTATGGTAAACTTTTAAATTTATGTTTTTGTACGTTGCAGTAAGGCTTACTGATGGGTTTTTTTTTTTTCCCTTAAAAGTATGTAATTGAAAGTATATATTTTGACATTGCCACCACCAAGTTATTTTTAATCTAATATTCAGAACAGAAAGGCCCTTAACTTAATATCAATAGTTGGTTTTGGCCCACAGGGAGCAGGGCTGTGGTAATGGAGTGTCAGTATGGGCCAAGGAGAAAAGGTTCCCAGTTAAAAAAAATCAGTGAGCAGGAAAGCAGGTCTTGTCAGCTCTACAAAGCCACTTGTCCAGCCCGGTAAGCTTTATTTTATTTTACTTCTTTTTTATTAAGCACTTGTTTTTGAATAGCTAATACATGCACATTTTTATTTAAGCTTAAACAGTACTAAAAGTTATCCGTGAGCTCTGAGTTTTCTTTTGCCCCATTCCCTGTGTTCCTCTTTAAGGCGACGACTCTTATCAGTCTCTTGAGTAGCTTTCCAAAGATATTCTTTGTATATATATGCATATGTATTTTCCCTTTTCCCCTCATAAATGTTATTGAAATCTCAGTAAGATTAATTTTCTTTCCTTAAAGTTATGTAGTAGTGTACCTTCTTTCCTGCTGTGAGTTCACATCGATTTATTCCCAGTCTGAATGCCTAAAATGGTTATCTACTGCACAGCTATGCTACATATTAGTATGAATGTAATGACATATAGTACTCTAGACTTTGCTTTTTATCATTCCAAAAATATCGTAGAGATCGTTCCATATTAGTACATAAAAGCACTGTCTCTTTGTAGTAGCCATATAATATTCCATTAAAGAATGAATCATCCAACAACAACAAAATAAAATTAAAAAAAAAAAAGAATGAATCATCATTTACTTAATCAGTCCTCTAATGATGTACATGTAGGCTGTGAAAAGTATCCTTTATTATTACATACAAACCTGTTGTAGTTGTTCAAGTGTATCAGAATAAATTTCTAAAAATGAAATTGCTAGGACAATGATTATATCTTTTTTAAAGGTAAATAAGTTAAAATCATATAATGCCTTGAATGCTGCCAAGAATTTTGTACTTGGTTAAAGCTTAGAAGATTCTTCAAAGGAGGAATACAAATGTGGATAATTATTGGTGACATTGATATATTGATGGATTTAAGTAATGAAAGACTGGAGGCCCAGAAGAAGGCTATTAAAATAATCCAGGCATGAGATGATTATGGCCTCCAGGAGAACAGGGAAGTGGAGGCAAATCTAGAAAAAAATGTTGAAAGTCCATAAATACTTAGATATTTTTACTGAAGTCACAGTTATTGTTAATTTGCTAAGTATGCTTAAAGTAATACAGTACTTCTGGTTGATGAGTTAGATTTTATTGACGTTAAAATATAATGAAACACGTTCTTCTTTATCTTGTAAAAAGGATTTATATTAAAAAGGTACAGAAGTTTCCTGAATATAGAGTTCCTACAGACCCCAAAATTGACAGAAAAATAATCAGAATGGAGCAAGAGAAAGCCTTTAACATGTTGAAGAAGAACTTGATGGAAGCTGGTGGTGTTCTTAGGTATGACATTTAAATAGTACTTCTATTTACAAATTAATTTTCTGTAAGAGAAATTATAATTATATTTTCCAATTATTTCATTAAGAAATGGTCTTAGAAGGTAACTGTCTCACCAGTAGTTCTCTAGATATTAAAATGGTTTGCCACTGTACAAGCCATTGAATTTATCATCCCCATGTTGTGGATAATTCTGACTAAAGAATTCTGTATATCATATGGAAGTTTTCTCCAAATTGACGAATACATATTTAACAACACATTTCAATATATATTTAGTACTTTGTGTCAAATACTTGGAGCCCTGCTGGCACAGTGGTTAAGTGTTTGGCTGCAAACCAAAGGTTTGGCAGTTTGAATCCAAGCTGCTCCTTGGAAACCCTATGTGAAGCAGTTCTATTCTGTTCTACAGGGTCACTATGAGTTGTAATCGACTCAGTGGCAATGGGTTTGGGTTTTTTTTTTTTTTTTTTTTTGGTCAGATGCTTATTATTAGGAGCAGATTTGCAGCCACTTGGATTTTTTTTCAACCTATCTTTAATTACTTATGGCAGCCAGAAATGAATTCTAAGCCCTAACTAAAATTCTCGTATACCTTTTTTTGCTTCAGGTTTCAAATATGAAGGGATATTAGCCTTTTTTCTTACTTTGCTTTATGTATCAGTTCAGGTGAAGATTTCACTATTGTATAATGGGGTTAAATATATGGAATATAGCTTTTGTGTAATCTCTGAAAAAACTTTTAGGTATATGAAAAATGAGTGGAGTCAATAATTGGATCCTTCAGTTTGGAAAACATTGTGTTTAATGTTTAAATAGGCTCCATTTCATGCAGTATCAGTCATTGTAAGCATTTTGTACAAAAATATCAATTAAAATGATATCACACTAAATTATTTCATTTTCCTACAATCTGTTTTGCACTACTGTACAAGAGACCTATATTCACCTTTTAGTTGATTTCTCTTGCTCATTGGGCCAGTGGGAGCAGGGAGTGCTGTGGAAGCAACATGTTGAGCTCCTGTGAGAGAGGACTCTCCCACATAGCTTAATGTTGACAGGCTCTAAATTATATCTTCTTTGGTTGGAAGGATGGTAGTCGCAACAGAGAGGTGTAATTTTGGGATAAAATGGTAGCTGAATGGGAAAATACATAAAATTCAGAAGATAATGATTTATAATCTTTCTTTTGAGGTAAAATTTACTTAGTATGAAATTTAAAATGCCATTTTAAATCCCTTAAGTCCCTACACTCCCCCTCCCTCAATTTTAGGGCCATAGTGAAATTCTATAAAGGTTTATAAAGACTTATTTAACTGAATATAAACCCAATTTTTAGAAGAATGAAGTAGATCATCATTTAAATTTTATTTTATATGTATAATCATATGTAGTTTTCCTTAAAAGGTTATCCTTTCTCTTTATGACTATTAACATAAATGATTATGATTCTTGCTTTCATCTAATGAAATAATTTTAGGTATTTTCTCTTATCAGGTGGTATGTACAGTTACCTACACAGCAGGCTCATCAATATCATGAATTAGAGACTCCCTGCCTTTCTTCTTCACCTTCCCCTTTTCCTGTATCTTCTCTTGAAGAAGAGGAAAATGCAATTAGAGATGAGAATTGTGCATTGCCCTCACGTCTGCATCCTCAAGTAGCATATAAGATTCGAGAATTAGTATCACAGGGAATAGAACAAGTGTATGCAGTAAGGAAACAGCTAAGGTACAGTAGAAACAAATTTACATTTTTGTTTGTTGGTTTAAATAATGCACTTAACATTATAGACATTTTCTAGGATCTATGCTATCAGAATAGATAAGGTATATGGTTTATTAAAATAATCCTATTTAGGAACTGATCATTTTCCAGCAAATGCTTGGCAAACCATAGTATATAATATAGCTTATTATGATTCTAAATGCTCATTTGAGACATTCCATTTTTAAGTTTGGCTAATTGGACTAGATCTAAATGACATGTGGGTTGAATTATATAACAAATACCTTTACAGTAAAAAAAAACAAAACTGTAAAACCAAGGATTTTTAAAACCTAGGCCAAGAGTAGATTTATACTTATTTCAAGCTATTTGAAATGCAGTTAAATCTTATTGCAACAAAAGAATTTAGATAGTTATTTGTTTAATGAAATTTGATTTGTAACGCTCGGGCCAAATTTTATTGATACTTAGCCTAGAACATTATGATGATTATGACGAGGAGGAAGAGGTACTTGCTATGTGTGCCAGGTATTGTGCTATGTGTTTTACATGCACAATTCCATTTAATCTTACCACACCTCTATGAAGTTGGTTTATCTTTATCCCCATTTTACAGATGAGAAAATGGAGACTCAGAGTGGTTAAATAACTGGCTTAAGACACAGAGGCACACCTGAAATCTGGGTCTAACGCTATAGCCCGTCTTCTTTATCATGGTTTCTGGTACCTAATTGACCTTGTTCCTATTGGTTATCATGTAGTATGATCTGAATAACAAAAATGAGTACTTCCTATAATTATTATTTCATTAATACATGACTTCACTGTTTAGCACCCTTCTTAGATATTGGATATTTATTTCCATTGGGGCATTGTTAGAAAAGGGGCAAAATTTGGTAAAGCCATCCACTCTTTCCTAAACCTGGATCTTAAGAACAGAGATATACTAGCTCTGTGATTTGGTCTACTGAATATAATGCACAAGGCATATATATGTTAAACTTTATTGTTTCCTTTGTACATTTATTCTTCTGTTTTCTCTGCTAGTTAAATTCAAGCATATCATATTTCATACAATATTAATTGATGCCTTTTGAAAGCAGTGTACCATGATGCTTATGCACATAACTTGGGTGTAGATCTAAGTTCTCTTACCTACTAGGTGTATATATGCTTTGGGCAAATTATTTAACTTCTTCGGCCCTCTGTTCCCTCATCTGTAAAATAGGAATGATAGTTGCACCTACCTTACAGATTATAGGAAGTATTAAAGGACATAATTGATGTGACATGCTTAATACAGTACCTGATACAGAAAGCATTAAAAAACATTATTATATTCAAATTGAAAATAATGGTTCTTTTAAATTCATAAAAATGTCAAATCTCACTTTAATATTTATAGATGTTTAATCAACAAAAATATTACATTTCTTTAATCTGTATGAATTCTATGATTTAATGTATGAAGAAATTAAAAGTAGACCAATATAAATTAGCTATAGAGTTATAAACCATACTTTACAGATATTTATGCTAAAAGAGAGCCTTTCTCTCTTTTGGTCTAAAAGTATGTTGCTATATGGTTTATGTTTGTATTTTATATTCTTCACAGAAAATTTGTGGAAAGGGAACTGTTCAAACCTGATGAGGTACCTGAAAGACATAATTTATCTTTTTTTCCAACTGTAAATGATTTAAAAAATCACATCCACGAGGTACAGAAATCCTTGAGAAATGGCGATATTGTATATAACTCAGAGATTATTCCAGCAACGGTATGATTACAACTGTAATTCCTTGTTTTGTTACAGAACCTTTCTTAGCTACTATTAATTTTTGGCCTAGTAGGGATGGTTACTATTAGGCTATCTGTAAAAACTGTGATGTAAGAGAAAAATAATGGTATCTTTTTCTTAAAATATAAACTCTAGAAGTTCTCAGATGACGATTTGACTTAAAATTCTGCATTACTCTCACAAGAAGAGAAATAAGTGAATTTTTAACTCCGACTGTAGTAATAGTAATCTTCATTTTAAAGGAAACATTATATCTCTGCAAAAAATATTACTTATTCATTTAACAGACATAATTATTGAGTACATACTGTATATATCCTTCCTCCCCCCCGCCCACCGTTTTTTAAATACATGGGCAAGTTTAAGTAGAATAGTTCAGACTTGAATACACAAAGTGATGATGTTGCTTCCATTTGCCACCTATGGATATCAATTTTACTTCATACTGTGATACGGTTGTTTCCCCCTGAATATTAGTTATTTCTATGAAAATTTTACCTGCTCTGAAGATTACTATAATTACCTAGAACTACTAATTACAATAGTTGCAGTGATTATGGCATTAAAATCTTAGTAACAATGTCTTTTGCTTTCCAAACTTTTACTATTCAAACTCATTTACTGAATAGATTGAGATTTTTTTTAAAGCTAGAGCTACTATTCCTTGCTATCCAAAGCTCTTAATTATTCACTGTCCAAAATTCAGGAACTAAAAACTTGGTTAGCAATGTTCTTTGCCATCTGAATTTGCTTTCCAAATTCTTTCTTTCTGAGCTTGGTAACCAGGTATATTTGGATAGTGAGATATGCTTGTGCTTTGACAATGTGAACAAGGGAAGACAGTAATTACAGAACAAAACACAGTTATCACTGTAACTGAATGAAATATGATCGTTGTATTGATGTTTTAAAATATTTTTCAATATAAATGCTTTATATTTACTGAAATAAATGTTCCCATTTCAGCTTCAATGGACTACAGATAATGGGAATATTCTCAGAGAGACTGTGACAGTTACATTTGCAGAAGGTAGGTTATCTTGAATATTTTGAAAATGTAAAATCAAAGAGTGTTAAAACTGGTAGGAACTTAAGATATTGTATTATCTAATCGAATATTATAGTTGAGGAAACCATGGTTCAAAGAGGCAAGAGCAACTATTTTAGGGTTTATCAAAGTATTTCCAGCTATTTAAATTTCCTTTTATAAACAGTTTTTATGCTTCTTTATGACGGAGAATTTGAGACTGATTACTAGCAAAGTAAACTAGAAAGCCAGGATAATTCCAGTAGTAACAACTTTGAGATGTCCCTGACCTGGAAACTCATCCATTTCATATGGTTTGCTTTTTCTCAACTGTTCTTATTTTTATCTCAATATTCTAGGCTTATTTCAACCCTTTTGTATGTCTTCTTTTCTCTTCTGGAAATGTCTTTTCTCTTTCACTGCTCGGCACACTGTTCTCACTACTCAAACAGCAATCTCTTTGACCTAAAATGCTCCCTTAACTTCACCCCAGCATAAAGTTAAATATTAACTTTTTTGTATTTTTCCCTGCATTTAACATGGTAACCTTTGTTTGTATGCCTGTACTTTCATTATGATTTGAGCTCAGCAGGGGCAGAGATTTTATTATAGTTAAATAATATACTTAGTTCCTAGCATAATGCCTGCTAAAAAGTTAACTGCTAAATAAATGTTTTAGAATGAGTTAATGAATGGCTGTATGTACAGTACAGTTATTTCTTTATTCTTCCACTTGTTTATCTTTAAGAGTCACTTTGCCTACAGAATAACTTTCAAATGTTTTAGCATTATTCATTTATTTCACTCACTATGCTAAACTCTGGGCATAGAAAAGAATAGCTAATTTTTCTGTTTCATGAAACTTAAGTCTAGCAAGTGAAAAAGATATTAAACAAATATTTTCTAATTAATTACTATTATGGAAAGTGCCACTGCTATCCCTAAGGTTTTCACTGGCCAATTTTTCTCAGAAGTAGATTGCCAGGTCCTTCTTCCTAGTCTGTCTTAGTCTGGAAGCTCTGCTGAAACTTGTACGCCATGGTAACCCTGCTGGTATTTGAAATACCAGTGGCATAGCTTCCAGCATCACGGCAACACACAAGCCACCACAGTATGACAAACTGACACAGACAAGTGTTATCTTGAAGTTGTCAAGGATTTCATTTTACTTGGATCCACAATCAACACCCATGGAAGCAACAGTCAAGAAATCAAACAACATACTGTATTGGGCAAATCTGCTGCAAAAGACCTCTTTAAAGTGTTAGAAAGCAAAGATGTCTCTTTGAGAACTAAAGTGTACCTGACCCAAGCCATGGTATTTTCAATTACCTCATATGCATGTGAAAGCTGGACAGTGAATACGGAAGATCAAAGAAGAATTGATGCATTTTAATTATGGTGCTGATGAAAAATATTGAATATACCATGGACTGCCAGAAGAACGAACAAATTTGTCTTGAAAGAAGTACAGCCAGAATGCTCCATAGAAATGAGGATGGCCAGAGTTCATCTCACATACTCATGTACTTTAGACAGGAGGGACCAGTACCTGGATAAGGACATCATGCTTGGTAAGGTACAGTGTCAGTGAAAAAGAGGAAGACCCTCAACAAGATGGATTGACGCGGTGGCTGCAACAATGCGCTCAAACATAGCAATGATTGTGAGGATGGCGCAGGACCAGACAGCATCTTGTTCTGTTGTACACAGGGTAGCTATGAGTCAGAACTGACTTGATGGCACCTAACAACAACATGAAAAGTGCCATTAGAAAATTATTCAAAGCTGTATGAGAATAGTGATAGAGACATCTAACTTAATCCAGGGAGTAGGAAAGTGAATTTGAGAAAGTGACTTTTTAAGCTGAGACTTGAAAAATGAATAGGAATTTGCCAATCAAAGAAGCAGTAGCATGTGCAAAGGCTCAGAGGCAAGAAAGAGTTTGTCATGTTCAAGAAACATAAGGAGGTTAATGTGGGCTTAGAATAGATAACACTTGGAGATAAAACTGGATAAACAAAACAGGTTTATGAGGCCATTACACCTGTTCAGATGAAAGAAGATAATGGTTTAGACTGTGGTTGGTGGCACTTACAATAGAAATTAGACTTATTTAAGAATTATTTCTAAAGTAGAGCTGAATGGATGTGGTTAATAATTGAATAGTTGTGGGGGGTTAAAGAGTGGGAATGATCAAAGATGGGCCCTGAGTTTCAAACGGGACCATTGGTGGATTCAGGGGAGGGGAAAAAAGATCATGAGATCAAGTTTAGAAAGCTTAAAAGTTAGACCCATTTCAAAGGAGTAGATTGAGAAGAAGCTGTATTAGGGTGGTTGAAGAATAAATAGGAGGAAAATGAAGAAGTAGAGACACTATGGACCACGTTTTCCAAGAAGTTTGTTGTGAAGGGAGTTTGGGGTTGAGAGAAGGTATTTTCAGACAGGAAAGACCTGATTCCACAGATGAAGATGCAGGTACTTGATAGTATTGGCTGTAGGAAGTTGAGGAAATTTCCATCTGATGGCTTCTCTTTTCTCTTTAAGTAAGAGTGTTAAGACTAAAGAAGATCTCGGAAAGTGTGGCTGAAATTTGAGAAAAATGAGTATCCCTAATTGAGAGTGAGAGAAACATTGTAATGTTGCCAGATACAGGTGAAGGTAGCACTGAGGCTGATGATCATGAATTACTAGTAGTAGTGAATTTCTTCTTCGGTAGCACTTAGCTTTCTGTGTTTAGGCAAAGGAAGAGATTTCAGGCAAAGACGATGAGACTAAAGGATGGAGAGGCAAGGAAGTTTAGGGTATTTTCACGAAAGTGATTGAAATCGTAGACCTAGGATTCTAAACTGGATGGGGAGAGAATTTTATAAAGGCAAGGTTTAGTGGATATGAAGAAAATTGAAGGATCAGTGGACTAAAGGTTCATATGAGGTTGAAGAACAATTGTAGTGGAGTACCTGAACAAAATTTCTGGAAGAATAAGAAGTTGTGATCAGAGAATGGGATATTTGAAGTAGAGAGTTTAGAGATAGAATAGTCCAGGGTCTGACCAGAGTGGGCAACTGCAGCCTAGTGAAGTAGAAGGACATTGGAAATGAAGAAGCCAAGAAATGTGAGAGCAATGTTTAATCCTCTCAGTGGTCCTTCAAGGAAAATACTCTTATTCTGATTTTATAGATGAAGAAATTCGAGTTTAGAAGCCAGATTAAACAAACCAGCACTTAAATTCACCCTTGTCTGACACCAAGACCGTTTTTAAAATTACTTAGCTACTGTATGGAAGCAATAAATATTTTTTGATAATTGTTGGTATTTTTATAATTTTATTTTATTTTTGTTGTTGAGAATATACACAGCAGAACATACTCCAATTAAACAATTTCTACATGTACAATTCAGTGGCATTGATTACATTCTTCTAGTTGGCAACCATTCTTACCCTCCTTTTCTGAGTTGTTCTTCCCCCAGTAACATAAACTCACTGCCCCCTAAATTTTCTACCTAATCTTTTAAGTTGCTGTTGCCAATTTGATCCCATATAGATCTCAAGATAGCTCAGTGCTCAAGGTACAAACTCTTTACTAGTTAAGCTAAACTGTTGCTTGGTTTTGAGAAGACTTCAGGGGATATTTTTGGTTTAAGGTTTAAAGATTATCTCAGGTCAATATTTTCAGAGGTTCATCCAGCCTCTATGGCTCCAGCAAATCTGGAGAATTTGAAATTCTGTTCTGCATATTCCCCCAGGCACCATCTAGTTCTTCTGGTCTCATGGCAAAGGAGGCAGTTGCTCATGGAGACAGGCACACATTCTATTTCTTCCTCCTATTCCTGACTCTCCAGGTGAATAGAGACCAATTATTGTACCTTGAATGGCCATTTGCAAGCTTTGAAGACCCTAAGCACTACACAATGAACCAGGAAGTAGAACAGAAGCACTAAGCATGTTATTAGGTCAGTTAACTGGGCTATCCCATGAAACCATGACCCTAAACCTCCAAACCAAGGAACCAAATCCCATGAGGTGTTTGTATGTAGGCAGCCTCAGCAGCAACTCTTTTTTTTTTTTCGTCATTATTATAAATATATCTATCACACAACTTTTACCAGGTCACCTTTTTTAGAGGTGTACAACTTATTGACAGTAATTATGTTAATCAACTGTGCAAACCTACCCTTAATCAATGCAATTTTTCCATCACCAAAGAACTGATTTTTGATTGACTTAAAGAGATGACTATATTTGGGTTACCATATAAGAATTACATGAGAATGATTCAAGTTCCCCTAAGAACAATTGTATTTTAAAAAATTGAGATGTTAAAAAAAGAGAAGTGTTTATTTTTATTCATTTATTCTGTAGTAAGTTATTGAAAGAAATTTAGTACTGCTATTATTGAGGAACTGCTTTATGCCAGACATTGTCGTAGGTCTACAAAAGATTTATTAAGTTTGGTCTTTTGTAATTGAGAAGCTCAATAGTTTTCACTCATCTGGAGAAGTTTAGGTGTAGTTAAGCATCATAGCATGGAGAATGGGCTAGTTCAGTTACAGTTGTAGAGTCTTTCAAAGAAAGAAACATAAGTTTCTAGATCTCATCCTAGAGCTACTGAAGTAAAATCAGTGAGGTTGAACCTAGGAATCTATATGTTTTTTTAAAGTTTCCTGAGTGAATTAGATGTTCTGCCAGCTTCTAGAAGTAGTGGACTAGATGACTTTATAAAGTCCTGTGCAAACCTTTGGCCTTAATTCCTATTCCAATTCTGATAATAAGGTTTGTAATGAACAGTAGTGTCCTAGAAGCTTATAGAAATTATTCTATTTTAACAGTTTATTTTTAACATAACTTAGGAAATTCATCAGGAGAATCAGTTACCACCAAAGTGGAAGCAAATCAAACAAGGAGTTCTTTGTTTCCAGAGCCTGCACAGAGACTCTCCTCACTTTCCTCATTTCAGCCCAGAATATTTGCACAACTGCAGGTAGGTGTCCAGTGAAATACCCTATTTGAGTCCCTTTTCTTTCTTTCTTAATCTCTCATCTTCTTCTCCTAGAGATTCTCAGAAATTGTTATGTTAGTTGTTGTTAGGTGCCGTCAGGTCGGTTCCGACTCACGGCAACCCTATGAACAACAGAACGAAACACTGCCTGGTCCTGCTCCATCCTCACAATCGTTGGCTATGCTTGAGCTGATTGTTGCAGCCACTGTGTCAGTCCATCTCGTTGAGCGTCTTCCTCTTTTTCACTGACCCTCTACTTTACCAAGCATGATGTCCTTCTCAGAAAATTGTTACAGAATTATTATAATGATCAAAGATGTTTCATTATTAATTTCCTGACCCCTTTGTGTCTTGATTTAAGATGATAAGTCATACAGTATGTTTTGAAAAAGTTTGAGGTTGACTATGAATACAATAAAATTCAGTTATACTACTTTTCCTTTGGCTTTTGTTTCTGTCCCTACTTAATATTTGTTAGTAACTATACTTCCACAGGGTTGCTGAGTTGGAATTGACTCGATGGCAATGGTTATACTCTTATGAAGTAGTCCTAGTGGTCAAGCACTCTGCTGCTAGCCAAAAGGTTGGCAGTTCAAACATACCAGCTGCTCCGTGGGAGAAAGATGTGGCCATCTGCTTCCGTAAAGATTTACACAGCCTTGGAAACCTACGGGGCAGTTCTACTCTGTCCCATAGGGTCGCTGTGAGTTGGAATCAACTTGATGGCAATGTGTTTGGTTTTTGTTTTTATACTCTGTTATTTGTTCCAATTTTGTGTCAGAATTAATATATCCTATGAGAATATTGTACGTAGTAAATTCTAACAGTTTAATACAACCCTTTTTGTTTAAAAGGGTTTGCAGTTACAACCAAGATTCACCTCTCCTGATGAATCACCAGCTCTGATATCGGTAAATAACCACCTCTCCTCCAGTCCTTCAAGACTTCTGGATTCATTAGGGAGTACTGAAATGAATAATAATTCTCTACTGCTTGATCAGAGTCATAGCTTTCAAACAGACACATGCCTAACCCAAAACAATAGTACTGCCTCTGCCATGAGTAACCCTCCAGAACCAGATCAGAATATAGTTACAATGGATCAACTGGTAGAAGTTGGGGATGTTGAGGATACAGAAAGTCTGGAAGGAAGTGTTCCTCAAATTCTGTTGGGAGACGTACAGACCATTCCAATACGGATTATAGACAGCCATCCCACTCTCAGTAAGTTAAAATCAATTTATGATGTTATTTTTTGTTTGTTTTACCTTCATGGATTATCATCATTATATCACACAACAGAAAAATCTATCATTTCTATCTTGTGGGTTTATAATTTATAGATTAAGTAAAATTATGAGAGGAAGAGAAAATTTTCATTAGCATAAGTTTAATAACTTTTAGACTTTATTTTTACTTTTCCTTATTTCTAATTATTTAGTCCCATCAAAAATATTCATCCCCTAATTACCTGGTTTTCCATCAGAAATCTTTGGTGATGTGAAATCAAAAAGGTCATTTTAGAATGCATAAAAAATAAATGATAGGAGCAAATAAAAAAAGGAAAACTATTTTAGTGCAAAAATTATTATGGAAAAATTGTTTGTACATATGTATATACACACACACATGAACAAAGAAAACTGGAATGAAGTGGGCAAATACAAAGGTTACAAGGAAGATTTTGAGTTACAGACTTAATGTTGAGTTCTATGGAACTTGAACTAGTAAGACTTGGGACCTTGGGTTTAATCCAAGACCTTGTTACTTTTAGTTTGTAACCAGCCCAGTCAACATAGTGGTAAACTCTGTTAACTACTACTTAATCATGTCACTTCTTTTCACACAAATTGTTCTGGATTGGGCACTTTTGTGAGAAAGGATCTATAGTCTGGTTTTGAAGAACAAAAATACCTGCAGAAGTTATTCTTGAAACATATGGAGTATTTCTCTCCATTCTTAGTCATCATTCTTTAGGGTAAGGAAAACTGAGATAGCTCCTTCCAGAAAAGGGTCATTGTCTTTTAAATTTATTGGAAGCATTAATTTTAAGAAAATTTGTCTAGGGCTATCGCATTTGTAACTACCAGATTTGGGCATCTAAGGAAGTTTAGTAGAAGAGGGTAAGAAGGAATGTATGTGGATTAATCCTTACAACAACCCCATGAGATAGTTGGTGGTGTTCCCCATACTTCATGGTGAAACCAAGGCTCAGAGAATTTAAGTAATTGCGTAAAGCTCACATCTAGTAAGTGACAGAGAAGGGATTTAAAGCCAGGTCTGTCTGCCTCCAAAGCTTCTTTCCATTCTAACATGTTTCATCCTTTTGTGTTATACCAAGATATTTCTGGGAACTCTAACCCAAATTGCAAAGGAGACCATCTTTGAACCCAAATTTCCATGCTTTATTATAGTTAGATCATAATCTGAGGGGATACTTAAGCTGGACATAGATTCTTAGGGTCATTCAAATCCAGCCTCTACTGGTTCTCTATGGCTGGGGCTAAACTCCAACATACCCCTATGTGACAAACATTAGAAGTGTTCAACACACTTTTCTGAGAAAATATGGTCCCCTTAATCTCTGTCCCCTACAGCAACTGAAAAACAAATACTCCTGAGAGAGATGAAGATTTGATCTTAGACATCTCACTTGCCATTTTACAATAGTACCGCTGATATGCTACATTTAGATTAATTTGATCATAAGCACTTTGAAATCGGAATGGTAATAACATTATGAAATGTTTTAGGACAGCAAATATATAGCTCAGACAGCAAAGACAGAGCTATCATTTAAGAAGTGACTTTTTTTTTTTCCTAAAATACCTACATAGTCAAGTTCCTTAAGGGAGAGAAAATTTTCCTTGATATATGATCACATGTGGGTACCATATGGGTATGTTAACACATCATGAATTTATAGTACATGTGCCTGCAAAGAGCAAAACAAATAATTTTTTTAATTAATGGGAGGTTCCTGACTTCTATTCATACATATTTTAAAACACAGTTAAGTTTAAATGCGCGATGTGCTTTATAATTTTAACAAATTATAGGCAGCTTTTTGTCAAGGCATCTTTAGACGAGAATAACTTTATAGTTTTTTCTGTCTCTTTTTTCATTACTAGCATCATACCGAAGTAATTTAATATGAATGACCATTAAGATGTCAGAAGCACTGAGTTCTCCAATACACCAACTACTTTTCTAACTTACTTGATCCTTTTTCCAAACTGTTTTGTGCTTTGCTTCTAAATTCATATAATTCTAGAGATTTTAATGTTGTAAAGTGTATTAATCTTAAGGGTTTTTCTTTTATGTTTGGTTTTAAAGTTGAAGAAACTCCAGAAGGTACCGTTTCTGTGAGCCAAGTTAAGCAAGAACCCAAAGAACCAGCATTGTCTGTGGAAGCAAAAAAACATTTGGACTGTAAGAAATTATTTGCCACATAAATTATTGAAGCTTTTCAGAATTTACAGCTCTGGTGACTTCTGATGTCTTAGAAAAGAAGGTGAATATTGTCAAAGTGTTGCCATTCTTCAGGACGGTGTGATAAATGGACTGAAGACTGGTTCGATGAGCAGCTTTGATTTAAAACTGTTATGTTTGTTGTCAATTCTGGATTGTTACCTTCCTTAAGAGACATTTTCCTCTTCTTATTTTGTATAATTATTATGCTTTCTGATTGTGTAATAAGTCCAGTATTTCAAAAGATAATCTGAACTTATCCATGGTGATGTAGTCTGAACACAGTTATCTAACTCATCCCCCGGGAATATCCAGTTTTGGTGTTTAACACAAAAAAGAACACCAACAACAAATGTGTGTGAGTGTATGTTTGTGTGTGTGTGTGCATGTCATGAATTTTTTTTTAAGTTATAAAAGAGCACATTCCCTCTTTAAAGTTGTGAAGAAATTTTTAATTGACAGATAGGTGAGAGAAAATTTGTAGTGTGTCTCATTTGGAAAGATAAAGCAGTAGATACTACATTATAACATGAAGCCCAACAGTCACATCTGTGGAAACTGTGTAGTTGCATTTTAGCTTCTTCCCTTCTACTTTTTATACTTATAACTATAAGCCAATAGCATACTAATGGTCATCTAATTGGAATTTAAAAATATCTTGGTAAGTACTGAGAATTAACTGGAATTAATAAGATAAACAACAGAAAGAAATATATGTAGTATGGATTTACACTGTATTTTAGTTAAGTACTACTTATGGGTAGAAGGATGTAGCAATTGAGAGAACAATTAGAAAGAATAGAGTCCCCTGAAATTTACAGATAATTTGGGGAACTTCTTGATGACACTAGAGGAGTTTTTTTGTTTTGTTATTTTCTTATTTTATATTGAAGATTTAGTTCTGGTTAGAAAAGAATTTCAATTGTATTTACATTTTTCAGAGTTCTTACTGAACTGATATATTTAGGACTTACAGTATTTCAAGGCAAGAATTTACAGTTTAAAATTTGGTTCATACTGTATTTAAAACTTTAAATTGAGTGATCTGTTGTATTTGCTTGTTAAGTAAGTATATTTACTTTAAATACTGAATAAGTACTAATCAGTAAATTCATTATAAGCTCTGTTTCTGGAAGGTTGGTAAACTAGAAATGTCAACTATAACTGACAAGAAATCAACCTAAAGGCTTTTTCCCCCATTGATCATTAGTGGATATATTTAAAATTTTATTTAAAAAAAATGGATTTCAAATATGTATTAATGTTTAATGTTAAAAGCATGCGTACTATAATATGATATTTAACCTTAAAACTTAAAAAGGAGTCACTTTTCACATTTATAAATCAGTCTCCCAACCTTAATTCACTTTATTTCAGGAACATGAAATGTATCTAAGTTTAAAGCACTATTATATTAGAAGTGGGCTGTTGTTGTTAGGTGCTGTCCAGTCAATTCCGACTCATAGTGACCCTGTGTACAACAGAGTAAAACGCTGACCAGTCCCACACCATCCTCACCATCATTGCTATGTTTGAGCCTATTGTTGCAGCCACTGTGTCAGTCTGTCTCGTTGAGGGTCTTCCTCTTTTTCTCTGACCCTCCACTTTACCAAGCACAATGTCTTTCTTCAAGGACTAGTCCCTGCTGATAGTGTGTCCGTAGTATGTGGGGTGAAGTCTTACCATCCTCGCTTCTAAGGAGCATTCTGGCTATATTTCTTCCAAGAAGTGGGTAGAATTCTAAAATTCCTTGCTCTTTAGATTTATACCCTATTTAGTATAAAGTTTATTATTTATACTTTAATTAATGCAAACTAATATTTAGTTACATGTATGATTTTTAATAAGAATTACTTTCCTTTTTCCTAAGGATTGAAGATATTTGTTGTAGGCATTTATAAAGACTGACTGCCAAATCTAATTATGCTATTCTACGTTAAATACATCTCTTAGTTACCTCAAGCTCAGATTTCTCTTAGTCTATGTGTGCCTAAAAGGAGTAAGTCCAAATAAATTTATAGCTTAGTGATGCACTATAGGTAATATTCTTTTCACTTTTTATTTATAGTTTTCAAGATTTAAATAATAGATCTTCACTTTTCGATAATGGTAATGGTTTACTATTAAATATTTCACCAATTTAACTACATTATTTGGATACATTCCTTTCTTTGTTTGATGTTGCGTTACTAAGGAGAAATGCTTGTTAAGGTACAAACTCTAGTCAGGTACCTGTGATGATGAGAGATGTCAGAGGATTCAGACTTTGACAGTTGATCAAGAACAAAACATAGTTAAAAAATATTTCTGTCACTTCATTCCTTGTAAATGTCTCTTCCGATACTGTTTTTTATCATGAAAACAGAAAGTGACAGTGCATTCTCCTCACAAACAAAAAACAAAATAAAATGAGAACATGAAGGAAGGTTTAACTCCCTAATTATATACTCTTTTGATTTTTAGGTAGAAACTGGAACTATCAATATTTTCATGTAAGTATTTCAATGAGTAGCTCTTTAAAAATATTTTCTAAATAAGTTTTTAAAAATTCATTTGTCCTCCAAATGCATGTTTAGTCAAAATGTATCAGTATTGTGTTTAAAGGTGCTTAGTTAGCATCACTTTTTGAAAACTATGTTTACATATTTTTAATGTTTAATTATTTTCTAAATACGCAAGGAATTAAATACTGTGCATAAAATTTCCGGTATCTGTATTTGGCATTCTCCTAACAGCTCTACAGCAAAGTGTGACATATATTCTTTTGTGTCGTGTTATATATTACAAGGTATAATATCTGTAGTAGTGAGTTGAACATTCAAAATAAGCAGAAGTTCACAATTACAGCTGAGCTTGTTTCTTCATATTCCAAGCCTCCAAGTGAACTTTATATATACTACAGTGAATTACAGATCTACACAGCCATGGTGGGCCTTTCCCTCAGTAGCAATTTTCTGTGGGAGCAGTTAGTACACACTAAAAAAGGTAATTGTTTCCTAAAAGGCACAAAAGTAATAGAAACTGTAGATTTTGGAATCTGTTCCTTCATTACAGTTTCTAACTTTGAGGCCCACCAGCTTGTGTTTCATCTTTCTTTGTATGTTGTCAAAATACATCCTTAATCATGTGGGTATGAGAAAGATACTAAATTGTACTGGGTTATAAAAGAGGTTTAAAAATGTGTGTATATATATTGTAACTCAATGTATACTGTCCTTATTATAATGTAATTTTTTCATTAAAAGATTCTGTGTTTTTTTTCTTAAACTTGTTAGTTTATTTTTGTACTTTTCCTGGAGATAGTGATAGTTTTGTTCATCTTGAAGATGCCAAATAAACACTTTAATACCTGAGAATTTTGACTAGAGATTTATGTTTGGTTTGGAGCCTGAAAAATTTTAAGCATAACTATCGTAAGTTTAAAATTTTAAGCGTAACTACTGTTAGCATTAGATTTGGGTCTGTATATGCATATATGCATTTAGTACTCAGCAAAACAGCCAACCATCAACATTTTAAAACAATACACGTAATAAGGTATAAGTAATCCTTTTGTCCCCGCATTTTGGCAACATGACATCTTCAAGTACAACTTTATATTTTAGGAGTGCTAACAGAGTATACGATTTAAAAAGGAATTATAATTAATTTTTTCCCTCTTTGCTTCTTTGCTTTATTCCACTCTGTGATTATTTTTCAGGCCCATAGAAAATCTTAGTCTCTCCATGAGTGCAACTGCATTGGCTCTTGCCCATTAGCTGGTTTAGACTTCAAGCATCTTAAATGGCATATAGTTTTGATATCTAAACATCTATAATTCTACTTAATTAACTTAGTCATAATGATACAGCCTTAGTATACTTTTGCCACATATGAATTCTATTGTTAAATAATGCAAGTATTCATTGCCTGCTGGATTCTTAAACTTTGGGAATGAAATCAAAATTAAAAAAACAAAAAAAACCTCACTTATTAATGAATGCTAAAGTGATTCATGCAAAAAATAAACTGTATGGTTAATATGGAAGAGCTTTGGTAATGTAATATAAATGTGCTAAAACCAGAAGACACGGTAGGAGTCACATACAGGGAGGGTTTTTATTTTTAAGCATCTTCATATAGGTATAATTAACATGCAACAAACTGCACATATTTAAAGTGCACAATTTAATAAGTTTTGACATATGTATACAGCATGAAACCATCAGCACAATCAAGATAATGAACATATCCATCATCCCCCCTAAATCTTCTTATACCCCTTTGTAGACTCTCCCTTTCTTTCCTCCCTCCCACCCTCCAATTGCTAGATAACCACTGATCTGCTTTCTGTCACTGAAGATCAGTTTGCTTTTTCTACAATTTTATGTAAATGGAATTTTACAGTATGAACTCTTTTGTCTGACTTTTGGCACTCTGCATAGTTACTTTGAAATTCATCTATGTCATAATGTGTATGAATAGTTCATTTCTTTTTATTGCTGAGTAGTATTCCATTGTATTAACATACCACAATTTGTTTATCCATTCACCTTTTGATGGACATTTGTGTTATTTCCAGTTTTGGGCTGTAAAAATAAAGCTGCTGTGAACATTTGCATATAGGTCTTTGTATGGACATATGCTTTCATTTCTCTTATACCTAGGAGTGAAATGGCTGGGTCATATAGTAGATATATTTTTAACTTTTTAAGAAGGTGCTGAACAGTTTTCCAAAGTGGTTGTGCCATTTTAATTGCCATCAGCAGTATATGAGAATTTCAAGTATACCATATCCTAGCCAACAGTTGGTATGGATAATCTTTTAAATTTTAGACATTCTAGTAGGTGTGTAGTGGGACATCTCATTGTGAGTTTTTTTTTCCCCTTAGAGGTCAATTATTTCTTTATATATGTTTAACATGTGATATGCACAAAATAATAGATAACATATGTGTCAGTTAAAAACTTCATAACATAATGACTACCTATGAACCGACTACCAACCCAAGAATTACCCCAGTACCAGTGTCTCATCCCCCTTTCTTGTCAAAGGTATCTACTACCCTGAATTGTGTGTTTCCGTTGCTTTTTTTTTTTATTGTGGTATAATACATGTATCATAAAATTTAGTGTTTTAACCCTTTTTAAGTGTACAATTGAGTGGTGTTAAATACATTTACAATTTTGTATAACCAGCACCACCGTCTATTTTAAGAACTTTTCATCATCCCAAACTGAAATTCTGTACCCATTAAACAGTAACTACCTATTGCCCCCTCCTCCCAGCTCCTAGTAATAGCTATTCTACTTTCTGTCTATACAAATTTACCTATTCTAGATAACATCATGTAAATAGAATCATACAGTACTTATCCTTTTGTGTCTAGCTTATTTCACTTAGCATGTTTTTAAGGTTCATCTACATTGTAGCATGTATCAGAACTTCATTTTTAGAGCTGAGTAATTTGCCATTGTATATATGTACCACATTTTGTTTATTCATTCATCTGTTGATGGACAGTTGGGTTCTTTCCACCTGTTGGTAGGAAATCAGAGTGGGCCTCATTGAGAAGGTACATGTAAACAAATTCTTGAAGGGAATAAGAGAGTTAGCCATGCAGATACCTAGAGAAGAGCAGTGCAGTCAGAGGGAACTACAAGATTGGAAAGTGCCTGGTATTCTTGAGGGTCAGCAAGACAGGTATGGCTGGAGTGGAGTGAGCAAATAAGAGAGTACTAGGAGATGAGGTCAGAGAGTTAATAGGGAGTTGGGATCACATAGGGTCTTAGGAGCCATTATCTAGACTTTGGCTTATACTCTGAGTGAGATGGGAATGAGTTTTCAGCAGATGAATGACAAAATGATCTGATTTACCTTTGAAAAGGATCACTCTGGCCCTTGTGTTGAGAATAGACTTTACAGTTTGTCTCCTCTTACTAGATTATAAACTCCACAAGATCAGGAATTTTTTTATTTTTTGTTCATTGATGTTTCACAGTGGTAGATACTTAGAAAAACAGTTTTTTAGGCATAGCATTAATTATGAAATTGTGAAATTGGCTTCATTTTAGTTAATATACTTATGTAGGTTTTATCCACATACAAATTCATATACAGACTACAAATATCTGAACATAAAATACCAAATGCCAGGGAATATAGATATTGCTAGCTCAAGTAAGGGACCAATGACTGGAAATGCAGGCACTTTAGAAAGAAACTGTTTTTAGCTATACTTTATTATTATTAAAGATTTATAGATCTTAGTATTTCAAAGTGAGGGGTAGTTTTTTGGTTTATTTACCTCACTGCTTCTGCTTAGTGATGAGGGTGGCTGCAGAGCTATTTGTCAATAAATAAATTTTCTTCCAAGTTTCTAGAAAATACTTTGGAATGAAAGAATGCCCACATTTAAGATTTTGGAGTGTCTTAGTAGAAAATAAATGGAAAGTAATCTGAATAGACAGGGAAAAGTTGTTGAGGGAAGAGAATTGCTAAAGAAATGTCTTGAGTAAGAGAAAGGTGATGGGATCTAGTGCCTAAGTAAAGGGTTTGACTTTAGATAGGAGCATGTATACAAGGCAGACTACCTATGTGGGTAAAGATGCTAGTAGGTGAGTGAAAGTGAAAGTCTGGGAAATTATCTTCTGATTACTTAGTTTTCTTAGTGATGAGACTGGTCAGGCTGGTTGTGTGTTTTTGTCCAATCATGATCTGAATATTTATCAAGAGCAAGATAATGTGCTACTTGCTGGATGTAGAAAGATTAATAAAACCTAATCCTAGCCCTGCGGGGACTCACTGTGTAGTTGGCAATCAACCAATTGTAATATGGTGTGAAAAATACTATCAATCCAAACAAAGGAAAAAAAAAATTAAGTCAGAGAGGAAATTCGAGGCTGATGAACAATTAAGGTTGACAGAAACATAAGATATTGTGCAGGGAATTCCAGAAGATTATGCTAAGAAGGCAGAAGATTGTGAAGGGCTTTTAATGCTCTACTGAGTCCATACCTTATTGTGTAGGTAGTGAGTAATAACGCGATCAACTTTACTTTTTAGGATGATAACATCGTTGCAAGTATGGAGGATGGATTGAGGAAATGAAGGAAAGAGAACAAGTAAGGAAAGTACTGAATAGCTAAGTTCTGAATTGATATTGTGTCATGGGGAGGTTAAGGAGGAAAAGGGTCATATTTTTGAATTTATAGGATTTATTGACAAGAGATTGCGGAAGAAGAAGAAAGAGCATGTGCTAATATAACACTCCCAGAACAGACAGAACTAGCCACTCCTCAGTGGAAATGAGTACAGGGTGATGCAAGTAGGCTAAAATAAACCACAGCAATACAACAAGGACAGTGTCCTGGTAATCTATTGCTGCATAATAAATCACCCAAAAACTTAGTGACTTAAAACAATGACAATCACTTAGTATCTCTCATGTTTCTGTGAGTAAGGAATTCAGAAATGACTTGGCTGGTGAGCTCTGGCTCATAGTTTCTCATCAGGCAACTGCAGTTAGACAAAACGGTTTGCAGCTAGAACAGCAGGGAGGTGTTTAGCAGTTGTCGGCTGGTTAGGCGTCTGTCTCCCTCTTCATGTAGTCTCTCCACATAGACTTGTGGGTTTCCTCACAGTATGGCAGCCTTAAATGTCTTACTAGGTGGGTTAAAGCTCTAATGATACATGTTCTCCTAGAGAGAGGGCCAGGAAGAAATTGTATCACCTTTTCTAACCTAACCTCAGAAGTCACATTCTTTTCATCCAGGCAGACAGAAGATTGGTACAGGTTCAGTGGGAGAGGACATAGATTCTCGCTCTTGATAGGAGAAGTATCAAAGGATTTGTGGATAAAATTGTCACTAACAGAAATCAATGTCCAGACACCAAAAGGGATGTGGGATGTGACTCCTAACCAGGGGTGAATAAAATCCAAATGTACTTTCATGAATGGCTGAATGGCATGAGGTTACAAAAGATTTCTCCCTACTCCCAGATGCCACCTTGGGAAAGAGAATGGAGAGAATGCCTAAAATAGACCATATTTTAAACCGAAAGAGACTGTGTTATCTTTCACGAGTAAGATCAATAGTTTTTCCACAATGAGTGGAAATGGAAGTTTGAGAGTAAGGTAAGATCAGTTATAGAAAAAAAAGTTATGGTTTCCTATACATCTGGTTCCTGGCTCTTCAGTTTAAACCTGTAACATTTATTTATGCCCAATTTTGATTTAAAAGGGAATTGAAGCAGCATATTATAAGAACTTAAACAATAAAATAATGGTTAAAACATGAGTATATGTGGTATAGATTCTCTGAAAACTTATTCCTTTGTTTTTCCTCTGTTGATTTAGCAAAACTTAGCTTGCAGATTAAATGTGTATTGGGTGGGAGGGTGGAACAAATCAGGACAAACTTTGGGATAGGAATTTGACACAATGTATCAAGAGCTTAAAAAAAATGATCTTTTTTTTTTTTTAAATCCTGTAATTCTAGTTCTAGCAACCTATCCTAAGGAAGTATTTAGAGATTTAGCCAAAAATTTATGTATCAAGTTGTTGGTTGCAATTGTATTTATAACAACCAAGGTGAAGAGAGAAAGAGAAAATTAATAATAGAAAAGTAATCAAGCAGATTATATTGCAGCTATATGATAAGATATAATGCAGTTGTTAAAATTATATTCCCATGATATGACATGGGAAAATACAATATAATAATTGAAGAAAAGGAGACATTATCTCATCTTCAGTGGAAAAAAAATGTATATTTGCATAGAAAAAGCCTTGAATAGTGTAAATATTTTTCTTTACATTCTCTATTTTCTAAATTTTCTAATACAGCGGTATATTACTTTTATAATTAAAGAAACAAAATTGTTGTAAAAGTCCAGTGTGGTCATTAGGGACTTGTTGGCATTTATTAAGAGATACTTACTTTGCTTCTAATATGTATTGTTGTTAGTTGCCGTTGAGTCGGTTCCGAATCATAGCATTCTGTACAACAGAATGAAACACTGCTCAGTCCTGAACTATCCTCACAATCGTTGTTATGTTTAGCCTGCTGTTGTAGCCACTGTGTCAGTCCATCTCCTTGAGGGTCTTCCTTTTTTTTCAAATGATCCTCTACTATAACGAACATGGTATCTTTCCCCAGGGACTGGTCCCTCCTGATAACATGTCCAAAGTACGTGAGATGCAGTACATGAGTATGCAGCCCATGGTATATTCAATATTCTTTGTCAACAACATAATTCAAAGGCGTCAATTCTTGAGTCTTCCATATTCATTGTCCAGCTTTCTCATGCATATGTGGCGATTGAAAATACTGTGGCTTGGGTCAGGCACTCCTTAGTCCTCAAAGTGACAGCTTTGCTTTTTAACACTTTAAAGAAGACTTTTGCAGCAGATTTGTCCAATGCAATACGTCGTTTGATTTCTTGACTGTTGCTTCCATGGGCATTGATTGTGGATCCAAGTAAATGAAATCCTTGACAACTTCAATACTTCCTCTGTTTATCATGATGTTACTTACTGGTCCAGGTGTGAGGATTTTTGTTTTCTTTATGTTGAGGTGCAATCCTACTAAAGGCTGTGGTCTTTGATCTTCGTCAGTAAGTGCTTCAAGTCCTCTTCACTTTCAGCAAGCAAAGTTGTGTCATCTGCATAGTAATGAGTCTTCCTCCAATCCTGATGCCCCATTCTTCTTCATACAGTCCAGCTTCTCAGATTATTTGCTCAGCATGCAGATGGAATAAGTACAGTGAAAGGATACAACCTTGACACACACCTTTCCTGACTTTAAACCATGAAGTATCCCCTTGTTCTGTTCGAATGACTGCCTCTTGGTCCATGTACAGGTTCCTCATGAGCACAATGAACTGTTCTGGAATTCCCATTCTTCACAATGTTATCCATGAATAGTTATGAACCACACAGTCAAATGCCTTTCCATAGTCAATAAAACACAGGTGAACATCTTTCTGGCATTCTCTGCTTTCAACCAAGATCCATCTGACATCAGCAATGATATCCATAATTCCATGTCTTCTTCTGAATCCAGCTTGAATTTCTGGCAGTTCCCTGTCAATGTACTACTGCAGCCACTTCTGAACAATCTTAGGCAAAATTTTACTTTCGTGTAATATTAATGATATTGTTCAGTAATTTCGGCATTCTTTTGATCACCTTTCTTTGGAATGGGCACAAATATGGTTCTCTTCCAGTCTGTTGGCCAGGCAGCTGTCCTCCGATTTCTTAGCATAGACCAGTGAGCTACTCTAGCGCTGTATCCATTTGTTGAAACTTCTCGATTGGTATTCTGTTAATTCCTGGAGCCTTGTTTTCTGCCAGTGCCTTCAGCACACCTTGGACTTCTTCCTTCAGTACCATTAGTTCTTAATCAAATGCTACCCCCTGAAATGGTTGAATGTCAACCAATTCTTTTGGTACAGTGATTCTGTATACTCCTTCCATCTTCTTTTTATGCTTCCTGCATCATTCAATATTTTCCCCATAGAATCCTTCAACACTGCAACTCGAGGCTTGAATTTTTTTCCGTTCTTTCAGCTTGAGAAATGCCAAGCATGTTCTTCCCTTTTGGTTTTCTAACTCCGGTCATTGCACATTTCATTATTATACTTTACTTTGTCTTCTCAAGCCACCCTTTGAAATCTTCTGTTCAGCTCTTTTGCTTCATCATTTCTTCCTTTCACTTTAGCTACTTGACGTTGAAGAGCAAGTTTCAGGGTCTCTTCTGACATCCATTTTGGTCTTTTCTTTCTTTCTTGTCTTTTTAATGACTTCTTGCTTTCTTCATGTATGATGTCCTTGATGCCTTTCTACAACTCGCTTGGCCTTTAGTCATTAGTGTTCTATTTATCAAGTCTATTCCTGAGATGGTCTCTAAATAACGGTGGGATATACTCAAGGTCAGATTTTGGCTCTCGAGGACTTGCTCTAATTTTCTTCAGCTTCAACTTGAACTGCATATGAGCAATTGATGATCTGTTCCGCAGACAGCCCCTGGTGTTGTTCTAACTGATGATATTGATCTTCTTCATTGTCTCTTTCCACAGATATAGTCGATTTGATTCCTGTGTATTCCATCTGGCGCGGTCCATGTGTATAGCTGGCCGTTTATGTTGTTGAAAAAAGGTATTTGCAATGAAGAAGTTGTTGACCTTGCAAGATTCTATCATGAAATGTGCAAAGACCTGGAGTTAGAAAACCAAAAGAACTGAAGAAAAAATTCAAGCCTCGAGTTGCAATGTTGAAGGATTCTACTGGGAAAATATTAAACAACACAGAAAGCATCAAAAGAAAATGGAAGGAATACACAGAGTCACTGTACCAAAAGAATTGGTTGACGTTCAACCATTTCAGGGGGTAGCATTTGATTAAGAACTAATGATACTGAATGAAGAAGTCCAAGCTGCATGGAAGGCATTGGTGAAAAACAAGGCTTCAGGAATTGATGGAATACCAGTTGAGATGTTTCAACAAACAGATGCAGCACTAGAAGTGCTCACTTGTCTATGCCAAGAAATTTGGAAGACAGACAGCTACCTGGCCAACCAACTGGAAGAGATACATATTTGCGCCCATTCCAAAGAAGGGATATTAACAGAAAGCTGAAATTATCAAATATCGTTAATATCACACACAAGTAAAATTTTGCTGAAGATCATTCAAAAGCAGTTGCAACAGTACTTTGATAGGGAAATGCCAGAAATTCAAGCCAGATTCAGAAGAGGACGTAGAATGAGGGATATCATTGCCAATGTCAGATGGATCTTGACTGAAAGCAGAGAATACCAGAATGATGTTTACCTGTGTTTTATTGACTATGGAAAGGCATTCGACTGTGTGGTTCATAACTATTCACGGATAACATTGCGAAGAATGGGAATTCCATAACAATTCATTGTGCTCATGAGGAACCTGTACATGGACCAAGAGGCAGTCGTTTGAACAGAACAAGGGGATACTTCATGGTTTACAGTCAGGAAAGATGTGTGTCAAGGTTGTATCCTTTCACCATACTTATTCAATCTGTATGCTGAGCAAATAATCTGAGAAACTGGACTATATGAAGAAGAACGCAGCATCAGGATTGGAGGAAGACTCGTTAACAATAACCTGTGATATGCAGATGACACGACCTTGCTTGCTGAAAGTAAAGAGGACTTGAAGCACTTACTGATGAAGATCAAAGACTACAGCCTTCAATAAGGATTACACTTCAACATAAAGAAAACAAAAATCTTCACTTCTGGACCAATAAGCAACATCATGATAAACAGAGAAAAGGCTGAATTTATCAAGGATTTCATTTTACTTGGATCCACAATCAACGCCCATGGAAGCAGCAGTGAAGAAATCAAACAACGCATTGCATTGGGCAAATTTGCAAAAGACCTCTTTAAAGTGTTACAAAGCAAAGATGTCACTTTAAGGACTCAGTTGCGCCTGACCCAAGCCGTGGTGTTTTTAATTGCCTCATATGTATGTGAAAGCTGGACAATGAATAAGGAAGACTGAAGAAAAATTGACACCTTTGAATTATGGTGTTGGTGAAGAATATCGATTATACCTTGGACTGTCAGAAGAACAAACAAATCTGTTTTGGAACAAGTACAGCAAGAATGCTCCTTAGAAGCAAGGATGACGAGACTTCAACTCACATACTTTGGACATGTTATCAGGAGGGATTGGTCCCTGTAGAAGGACATCATGCTTGGTAAAGTAGAGGGTCATCAAAAAAGAGGAAGACTCTCAAGGAGATGGATTGACACCATGGCTGCAAAAATGGGCTCAAGTGTAACACTTTTGAGGATGACACAGGTCTGGGCATTGTTTCGTTTTGTTGTACATGGGATTGCTATGAGTCAGAACCGACTTCATTGCACCTTACAACAATAACAGCAATGAATATGTATGCAAGGTGATTGTATGATTTGTTTCTTAAAGAAATTTTTACACTTTATTAAGATATTAAATTCATAGAACGCTGCAATGGCTTTCCAAAGGCAGAAATGAAGCATTAACTCAGAGACAATGCTTTGAAAGGATAGATGCCATCCTTCAAGATATCGTATGTGTATTAAATCAGAGTTCTTATGATGGTGCTGTTTCAAACAGGAAGAATACATGGGTTCAGGAACTGTGGGTGGAATCAGGTGTGGCCCTTTTAACCATCATTCTCAATGACACACTGGGGAATTTTGTGCTTT